TGCAAGAGAGGCAAATTGATTTTGACTTGTCTGAGGTGTTCTAGGATTTCATTATGCTGACCTGTTGATTTCGAAGTAGACTTGAGAGCTTGAGGGAAAGGTATTCAAGCTAGGTTTTCCACTACTTCCTCACTAAGACTGCTCTTATTAGGCTCACTTGGCTCTTTTCCGTTCTCTTTAGGTAGAGGGGTTGGTTCTACAACACCAACCTTCCCTGATCTAATGGTTATGGCATTCGCCTCTTTAAAATTGGTCTTTTCTGATCCTGAGGTTTGTGCCATGTGCTACCCTTTTGGGTTTGGTTGAGCTTGAGCCGAAAACTTCTCACGTTCCCCTACAACTAAGGCATTGGTTAAGTTAGATATATGATTCTTTATCTCTTTGTTTTCCTCGACTACCTGGGCAATCATAGTCTCAAATTTTTGATTTGTTTTGCCTTATGCCTCGATGAATGCATGTAGGGTGTCTTCTAAGGAATTTCTAGAGGACATGGGTTGACGTGGGGGTGCATTGTAAGCTCGAGTTTGTTGGGCATGTTGTTGGTTCTCAGACTTCCAGCTAAAGTTGGGATGATTTCGCCACCCTGGGTTATAAGTCTCGGAGTAAGGGGTGTAGGGTTTTTGATATACGCCTAAAGTATTACAGTATTCCTCATAGAGTCCCCTCATCTCAGCATAAGTAGCACACTCTTGTGCTGGATGATCCATGCCACCACACACAAAACAAAACCCTTCAGACTCAACACGGGAAACAACATGTGTAGGTTTTGAATCTTTAGCACGTAGACCTTTTAATTCTCTAGTGAGGCTTTTTACCTTGGCTCTAAGGTTGTCTTCCTCCCTAAAGTGATAAATGCCGGTGATGGTAGAGTTTCCCTGAGGTTGTGACCTATTGGTGCTATTGGAGGCATCAGGTTCAATCCAAGTGTGAGCCTTTTCAGCTAAGTCGTCTAGATACTCTATGGCTTTATCCGGATCTTTTTGTAGAAACTTACAATTACACATCATTTCCACAAATTGTCACTCCCTAGGTAATAATCCCTCATAAAAGTAACTCACAACACGCCGACTTTCATAACCATTGTGGGGGCAAAGAGTTTGCAATTCTTTGTATCTTTCCCATGCTTGATATAAAGTTTCGTTGTCCTTTTGGACAAAAGAAGAAATTTGTTTTTTTTTAAGTAGTTGTTTTATGATGGGGAAAGTATTTGCCAAAGAATACTTGGGTCATTTCAACCCAAGTCCCAATCGAACGTGGTCGTAGTGAACACGTGCTCGTTCTTTGAGTGAAATGGGAAAAATTTAGCCTGACTGCATCCAATGTACCATGTTGATTGTGGAAGGTTGCTACCACCTCCTCAAACTCCATAATATACACGTATGGATTTTCGCTTTCAAGACCATGAAAATTGGGAAGAAGTTGAATCATTCCCGATTTTAGGTCCATACGTGGCATGTTAGGAGGAAACATGATGCATGACGGTGTAGATGTGGTGTGGGGTGAAGGTAATCATGCAAGGTCCTATAGGGCGCATCGTCATGCTCACTATCAGACATTGTGTTGTGTAGTGTGATATTCGTGCCAACAGATGCAGTATCAAAAAGAGGGTTAGAAAGTGATTTAAACACTAGTTGAGGCCTAGCAATAAATCGCCGTCACTCGTCTCAAAGCATATTCATAAAATACAAAAAAAATGAAACTAAATGAGAAATAACAAAATATTTAAGAAAATAAATTAAACTAACTAAAAGAATGTAAAAAAAGAAACGAAGTCACCCTTTTGCTCGAGAATCCTTCAAGTATTTGAAACGTCTCCCCGGCAACGACGCCAAAATTTGATTACGCTCAAAGTATAATGTGATGGCTGTAGTATAGTTTTGGGGTGTCGTATCCATAGAGAGATGGAAAATAATCCAAAGAATCAAAAGCTAGGGTTTTGTTGTAATTTTATGTAAATGTAACGTATCAATTGAAATAGAATTCAAATAACAATGTATAAGTTAAGGAAATTTAAATCAATGTGTGAAGCGTCGATTAGATCAGATCAATCAACGTCAATTTTGCATAAAGATACTCAATTAAAGGTTTTTTTTTTTTATGCTAACACTTTAATTGGAAGATCTATACATTCAAACCCTTCTTTAATTCCTTAAGAGTTCCAAATCTAGATTTTTTGCACAGCATAATTCCACAATTATTTATTGAAATTAGATCCAAAATCGATCATATACCTCAAGCAAATGATAGTAAAAGATCACACCAACAAACATTTTGAAATTGAAAATTAAGAAATACTTTGATCATTCGATGAAAAAAACTTGATTGAATTCATGAAAATCTAATATGAACTAACCCAATCTCAAACATACCCAACAAACATGAGAAATCTAATTCTAGAATTTTTAACAATGGAAAAAAAAATTACATGCAAGAAAGAACGTTGAAATAATCGATACCAATCAAGTTCCTCCCTTGCTTCACCAAGAATTTCTAGCCTTTCATGGAGTTTCTTCACCCAAGATGAGAAAAAATTGATGTATAGAGGAAGAATCGCTTTCTGGGTCGAGATTAGGGCTTAAAAACGTGTGCCAAACAAGTTTCCATAAGTGTCCACGTCAAAATAGGAATCTGGGATTTCGCTCTCGAAAAATACCCATGCGGCCGCATGGTTCAACCAAAATGACCCCAGAAGTTTTCGGAAGGCAACCATGCGACCGCATGGCTTTATAAACATGCTACCTGAATCAAAATATAAGTATAATGAGTGCATTTTGATATCAAATAGTAACACAAATGCAATAATTAAGAGGGGAAAATTATGATATTTTGCACTCTTATCAGTGACCTTTAAATATTTTGATTTGTGACCGTGAAATAATCAATGACCAATTAATTTGATAATATGTAACATTGTGACATATAAGTATGCGCCTGTGATCATTATTTGTATAATTGTGACCTTAGAATATTTAATTAATAAAATATTTTTAATTAATTAATTAATACTTGATTTTTGAATTTCAAAACTTAAAACCCGAAAATTGAAATGTCCATATTTAATACATGACTCATGAATTTTCCCTATCTATATTCAAATGGGCCCGTCCATAGCACGACCCGTGCCGGGTCTAACTCACTTTGACTCTACCAGAGCATGTTCGGCATGATGGACTTGCATTGTTATCCTACCAAGATTAATAGTGTTAGGCATTTGTCGAGTGATTGAAAATTTCAATATGGTACCCATTTTTGCTTCCCCTCTACTTCCTTACAGAAATCCTGTCCATTTTATAAATTCAATACATCAAACATGTCATTAGCGTCTATCATATAGATATCCCTCTCAAGTTCAAGCCATCTTCATAATGCAAATTTTGTAAACCCCACTTTAAGACTTACGAGTTCTATCCAATAAAAAAATTTCCCAGCTCATCCCCACTCTTACATCCACTCTACACCCTTCTCTAAAGTCCAGTCCACCCAACTAATTCACTTTACTGAAAATGCCATCCGTGTCTATCCTACAGATATCCGATTCTGAGATAAAGCCAACTTCTCCTTTGTGCAAATTTTGTGAAACCATCTTCAACTTTGAGAGCAATGCAAATCACAGAGCAGAACTGGGGATCAACAAACAATAAATGTTCATCTACTTCAACCTGCAATAGAAATATCATTTATCTCGCCAAAATATGTCTGTCCCAAGTCCACCAAAACTCAGTTTTATCCCTGATCCCCACATCTGCAAAAATCATATTTGGTTGTTCCAAAATAAACGTTCCTTTTACAGATAACATACTATTTATGCAAAGTTTTTTAAATTTCAAATATAGACAAGTAATATAAATAATGCATCTGTCCTGCCCCAACTGCAGACACATATATTCATTGTTATAAAGTGAAATGATTATCTGCTCCACAACACATGTTTCATGTAGTAAGAAGCATTCATTCTACAGCTTTTAATTAGACAAACATAAAGCAAGCACATTCAAAACGAATATCCTAGAATTTAAAGCCGATTATTGTAGAATTGAATATGTAGAAAGAATACACATATACAATTTCAAAATGTAAAACAGCTAAAATATATATGTTAAAAACTTTGAAATTGATGAACACCTTCGTCCATTGAGAAAACACAATTATATCCATGAAGTGAATTGCATCCACTCATTTTTTCAAAGGATAAAAAATAAAAAATAACATGTGGTCCAACTGCATGTTTGATAAACAGTATTGGACAGGATAAGACGATACAATGGAAAGATATTTAGTTTTTTTTCTTCCTTAATACTCAAAATTTCAGAGTTTAACATATATCAACTTTCATCGAAATGAAGTAGAAATTGGAGCAAGAGAAACCCAACTTGCAATACCAATCAATGGATTGAAACTCTAATGGCCAAGTGAAGAACAAGCTTCCATCATTTTCCTCGTCAACATATTTTGACAGTTTCCATTCACAATCATAACCTGAAAACACTCAACCCAAGACTTTCAACAGCAGAGAACCCTCGGTATCCTGGCTAACGAAACCTCATAATCATAAATGAAAGCTTTGGAGCTTAAACTTGGGGATGAACCAAAGCTTTAGTAGGCAACACCCTTGCAGATACCTCGTGATTAAGAGAGGTTACCAAGCTATACCCTTCTATGAACTCAGCGTTCTCCAACTTATAGCTTTTCTTGAAGGTACTCTGGTAGTATCTATATGGCTCAAGTAGGCCCCAAGGACTGCCATTGTGAGTTTAAATCTTCCAAGAAGTGAAGTAATGGTGCTTTATTTTTTATTCTTTACTAAAAACAGTGAGCACGACTTCCTACTCCTTCCAGAATGTGTTACATGCTAATGACAGGGAAGAATCAGTTGCCAAATGATCAGATCCACAAAAACCTTTTCGTCAAACATTAACTTCAATGACAGTCAAGGCTTTTCTGCATCTTCTATACTGGACTCCAGTTCCCACAAAGCTCCGTCTTTTTTCTTTGATACAGAACCGTCGCTTTCACCAGAAAGAAAACATTCAAAATCAGAGTTGTTATTCAGAACTTCTGAACAAAATAAATCTCTCTATTTCTGGATCAAAACTCCATTCCAATCTTTTTCAAAATATCATGGTCCTTCCACTGCCCCAAAGCTGATACAGCCTCTTTCTTAGCCTTCCCCATCATGATCTCCTGCCACGAAGATGAAGCATCAGCAATCCTTTTTGAGAGCCACATCATTGTCATCACCCAAAACCACTCTCTTCAAACACCTCAATCTTGCTTCCTTCAGAATCTCCACAAAATCTGAATCAGCAGTCACAAGTACAATACGCTCAACCATTCTTCTGTCCATAATATCCATCGTATGATTTCTCAATGCAGAGTCAGCCGCCGGTGGCTTATCTGAAACCTTCCCAACCCAAAACCCTGCCCGTTTCAATTCATCCATCAACCCATACCCCACTTTTGGAGTCAAAATATCCCTAGCAGCATGGCATTCTTTGCCACAAAGTTCACCATCATCTTCCCTCATGCAGACTGAATCTGATTTAACCTTTTCATCTACTCACGTTTATGAATTTGCTTGAAATGATTAATAAACTTCTCATTATTATAAAAGCTTCTCCCCACAAACTCGACATATATATGGTTCATCTGACTTAACAACACCCATATTTTCCAGCTCATTCAGTGCTTTCCTCTCCCCCTTCTACACCCTGACTGAAGGTGGAACATATCAAAAAGCATAATGATTGGCATAAGCTATCGTATATTGAACAGACCCAAATTCTTCAGCGGCCTTTTTTAACCTTGTGGCAGCATCATATGGAGGAAATGGTTTTGGTGGCTTGTTATCCAAATCCCAAAAGATACCCTCATCGTTTTGAGGAAACCTCTTTACCAAACTTGAAGGAAAGACAGAAGATTCATGATTCCAGTCTGATGCTGAACTAAAATAGCGAAATCCACACACTGCAAAAGTTGTTTGAATCCTTTTAATGAACTGGATTTTGTTAATAGTATGGAATTTGACTAAACTCAGCATCTCCAGATGTCATCCTCATACACTGACAAACTCAAATAGAGCCCAAAAATTTTGCAAAAAGAGCAGCATGTAATAGAAAATAGAACAGCTAAAGGCATGCCAGCTGGAGGTCATGAAATAATTCAAAAATGAGATGAATAGTCTTCTGCAAGTTTTGGGCTTACCTACAACAAAGTAAAGCACTTTGTCAGACAGACTTTGATGTTCCAACAGAAGTTCATCTTAATGTAATGTTAATACAAAAAGTAAAAAGTCTAAAAACGAAAGATAATCCATATTCAGATATTGACAAATAAAATTCAACACCCTGAATTGTGCTCATTCGATTCTGAAAATAAAAGAAGAAAGGATAACTCATAAAGATTAAAAAATGTATAAAAAAATTACCAACATAAATCCTCGTTCACAACTCCGTTCGATCCAATCTTTTACAACTAGGTCAGACCAATGTTAATTTTGTATAATACCTTGTAATTTGTTCGATTGAAATCACATCAATCTTGCAAGTGAGAGCTTTAGCAAGATCAACCCAACTATCTAAATCGGCATTCCCTTAATTAATTATCAATTAATGTCACATTCACCTCTTGTTCTAATTTTTTGTTCTATCAGTTTAGTATCTTAATACCATCATTTCTTTTATATTTATCTTATAGACATTTCTTTAACAACGATATGCCCCTATTTGGAGTGGATTATAATCACTTTTTTATTAAATTTTGATAAAATTTGATGAAATGTGTAGTTGAAATATTGTGGGTCACATGAAATATGTGTTTAAATTAATTGTGGAATTTAACTTAGATTTTAATCCAGGGTCTATCAACTTAAAAGCTTAGTTGGTGTAATGACACATATTTTGACTTCTAATTATGCATTATATCCTTTTTCATGTTTTTTTCTTCGGCCCAAAACAGCCGTTCTTGGGATACTAATATTATTATCTATTGTAACTCTAATATCTTCGTTATTTCTACTATAATTAAAAAGGTTCAATGCGTTCCATTTTTATTCTCCTTTACCGAAAACATTCAAGCAAAAAATTACTTATCACAAAACTACTTAAAAGTCAAAGCCTTATTTACCATTTAAAGAGTTCATTTACCCAATGTCTTTCAATACAGCAAAAGCACAGCACCAGCATACCGGAAGCCTCCAAAAGAATTTGAAAATTCAGTCAACTCAGTCAATTAGTTAGTTCCATTAGTTAGTCAGAAAGTTAGTTTGTCAATTAGTTAATCCAGCTGGCATGTCTATAAATAGTTGAATGTAACTCACAAAGTTCTCAAGTTCTAAATAATGAAAGTTCTTCTTCTTTTTTCATCAGATTCTGCCCTTTATTTCTGAGTTCCTGCACGTATAGTTGTAGGATTCAATGTAACCTGAGTTGATGAATTTTTCATGGTATCAGAGCTTTAACAAATTCTTCCCTTTATTCATCAAAAATTTACTTGAAACATGTCAAGCTCAGACAATTCTCTTTTCAATCCTGCTGATGATCCAACCAGTCATTATTATCTACATCCTAGTGACAATCCTGGTGCACTGATTGTTTCTGAAATCTTCAATGGAGACAATTACAACTCTTGGAGCCGCTCAATTTCCATGGCATTGAGCGTGAAAAATAAATTAGGCTTCATTGATGGATCCTTGAAATCCCCAAGTCCATCATCTATTGTTACGTATAATTGTTTGGTTCGAGCAAATGATCTGGTTTTATCTTAGCTATTGAATTCAATCAGCAAAGATATTTGTCAAAGTCTGTTATACATTTCCTCAACATATGAAGTATGGAATGAACTCAAAATCAGGTAATCAGGTACATTCAAAGTGATGGACCTAGAGTATACTATTTGGAGAAATGCCTAAGTTCCATTTCTCAAGGATCACAAAGTCTCACCGTGTATTACAACTCATTCAAAGCTATTTGGGAAGAATATATCAGCTACAGACCTCTGCCTAAGTTCAGTTGTGGGATGCTCTCCAATTACACTAGAGATACATTGAAGAATATATCAAACACTCAGCAATCAGATGCTGTCATGAAGTTTCTTGTTGGATTAAATGAATGCTATTCTGCACTAAGAAGCCAACTCCTGCTTACTTCTCCCCGTCCATTATTGGCTCAAGTTTATGCCCTTATGCTTCAAAAAGAGAGTCAAAGGGACCTGCAGAATCACTCCTCCCCAGAATCAGCTGCTATGACAGCAAGACAACCTCATAGAACATTCAATAAACCTCACTCTTGGAAGGACAAGAAGAAGCCAGAATGTACCCATTGTGGATACCCCAATCACACTGCTGATAAATGCTTTCAAATCATAGGATATCCTCCTGGCTGGAAGGGACCAAGAGGTCCAAGAACCTTGATTGATACCTCTGCTGCTCATGTTGTAAGCCTAGACCAATCTGCAGAACATGAGGAACCAAGCATTTCATTCAATCAAGATCTCTTTCAACAATTATTAGCATTTGCTAAGACTCAACAAATATCCCTTCAATAGCCCAACACAGCACCTCAAACAGCAGCCACCATTTTCCTTGATCTAGGGTTTTCTTCTTCATTGTCACATATGTTGTACTACAACTATTATGAAATCATCGTCGAACCCCATATTTGAATCCTGAATTACAGTTCGAACACGTATTTCTTTCTGTAATTCAACTTATTCCAAACCGAAAATCAATACCTGAATAATTGGCACAGGTGCAACAGACCATATGGTATATTCACCTACATTCTTTAACTCATTGACTCAGCCACAACCACCAAAGTTCACTTACCAAATGGTTCTTATATCCAATCAACCATATTGGAAAAGTGAATCTCTGATAGTCTTCTTCTTGAAAATGTCTTATGGGTGCCATCTTTCTCATTCAATTTGATATCAGTCTCTAAACTAACTACATTTTCCAATATCCATGTAATTTTCTCTGCCTTCCATTGTCTTATACAGGATCTGGCTAGCATGAAGATGACTGGCTGTGCTAAAGAAACAGATGGCCTATATCACTACATGATAGCTCAAGACAAAATTGAACCTCTACCTATTACCAACAGCCCCACACATGTCTCAGCTCAATTTAATTACAATCTCTGGCATTGCAGACTTGGACACATATCCAACACCAGAATGTCCAAGATCCCATGCATTTCTTCTCATATTCCTTGTAAAAATTTACATAAATGTGAAATTTGTCCCTTAGCAAAGCAGAAAAAGTTACCCTTTCCAATTAGTAATTCAGTATCAAATAAAATCTTTTGCTTAGTACATTGTGATATTTGGGGTCCTTTCCATGTGCCTTCTTTTAATGGTTACAGATTTTTCCTCACTATAGTTGACGATTATTCTAGATGCACCTAGGTTTTCATGATGCAATCCAAGTCCGAAACTCGTAGCCACATAAAGAACTTCTATCAAACGGTCATTACACAGTTTAACACCAAAATAAAGACCTTTAGAATTGAGTCAACTCACAATGGTGCTGAGTTCCTCATGCCAGAATTTATAACTCTCATGGAATCCTTCATTAGAAAAGTTGTGTTGAATCACCACAACAAAATCGAATTGTAGGGAGAAAGCACCAATACATCCTACAAGTAGCCAAGGGCCTTCTTTTTTCAATCAAATGTTCCTCTCATCTTTTGGAGTGACTGCATACTCACAGCAGTTCACATCATTATCTGGATACCATCTCCAATTCTCGACAACAAAACCCCTTATGAGCTGCTCTTCCAAAAGCCACTAGACTATGATCACCTCAAAATATTTGGTTGCTTATGCTTCACCAGTACACTCAATAATCATAGAACTAAGTTCTCTCCTCATGTATCTAGGTGCATATTCCTTGGTTATCCTCTTGGATACAAAGGATATAAGGTATATGATTTACAATATCACAGAACCTTTGTTAGTAGAAATGTCATCTTTCATGAATCTTCCTGTCCTTATAAAAACTCCTCACCTGCTAATCCTCACATATTTTTTATACCTGAACCATACTTTGATTATTCCCATCCACATACACCAGCAATAAACCAATCAACAGAAACCAGCAATAGCCAGACCCAAGTCAATATTGATCCAGTGCCTGATCATGCTTTCCCTATTTCTTCACCAAAAAAAGATTTACCTACTCTTCAACCTCCTCCCAGAAAATTCATTAGAACAAAGCATATAACCACCTATCTGAATGACTATCATTGTGATCTACCTACTTCTTCCAATGTAATCCAGTCTTCCATAATGCTGGCTAGTCCATATGCTTCAGGTTTACCTTTCTCTCTTTCTCATTTTATCTCTATTGATAGACTTTCCCCGAAACACAAGGCATTTGTTACATCCATTTCAAATGTTTATGAACCAAAGTATTATAGCCAAGCTATCAGATTTCCACACTGGCACGCTGCCATGAATTGTGAGATTCAAGCTCTTTAAAGAATAATACTTGGACCCTGACTCATCTTGCCACCTGATAAACACAAGATTGATTTGCAAATGGGTTTACAAAGTAAAATTCAAAGTAGATGGTACTGTGGAAAGATACAAAACACGGTTAGTTGCTAAAGGATACACTCAACAAGAAGGCCAGGATTTTTTTGACACCTTCTTCCCTGTTGCAAAATTGACCTCTGTTCGGGTTCTATTGGCTATTGCAGCAGTAAATAATTAGTTTTTGCACCAATTAGATGTTAACAATACTTTCCTTCATGGTGATTTACATGAGGAAGTCTACATGGAACTGTCTCAAGGTTATCCCAGTCCTAATCCCTCACTTGTCTACAAACTAAATAAAAGCCTATATGGCCTCAAACAAACATCTCACAATCTTTATTCCTGAAGTCTATTGCTGATTCTTTCCTTGTCCTCTTGGTTTATGTTGATGACATCCTTCTTGCCAGCAACAATCTTCATGAAATTCAGGTCCTCAAGCATTTTTTGGATTATCATATCACAATCAAAGATCTTGGTGAATTAAAATACATTCTTCGTTTGGAGGTTGCTAGATCAAAGCATGGAATCAGCCTCTGTCAATGAAAATATTCCTTAGACATCCTTGAAGACTCCGGCTTCATTGGTTGCAAACCAGTGGCATTTCCTATGTAATCTACTCTCGAACTCAAATCAGAAGAAGCAAACCTCATCTCTGATCCATCAGTCTATAGAAGGCCTATTGGGAGATTAATAAATCTCACCATTACAAGACTTGACCTGGCTTACTTTGTACAAGTTCTTAGTCAATTCATGTCCAAACCAGCTCAATCTCACCTAAATGCTACTCATAGAGTTCTTAGATAAATTAATGCCACACCAGGTCAAGGCTTATTCTTTCCTACCAAATTTGATTTACACCTCAAAGCTTACAGTGACAGTGATTGGACCGGCTGCATTGACACTAGACGAAGTGTTATTGGTATTGCCATTTTTCTTGGAATTAGTCTCCTGGAAATCCAAGAAGCAAACCAGTGTTAGTAGATCTTCAGCTGAAGCTGAGTATAGTGCTTTAGCATCCACAACCTGTGAACTCCAATGGTTACTTTATCTTCTACATGATTTGGCTATCACTCATCCTCAGCCTGCACTCTTATACACAGATAGTAAATCAGCTCTTTCAATTGCCACAAACCCTGTCCATCATGCAAAGACCAAACACATTCAAATTGACTGTCATCTCGTCCGTGAAAAGTTACATTCTGGATTAATCAAGATCATCCAAGTTACTTCTCACCACCAACTAGCAGATGTTTTCTCTAAACCCCTTGGCTCAGCCATGTTTCACAACCATATCTCCAAGATGGGCATTTTGAACATCTATGCCCCTCTTGGGGGGGGCTCTTACAATACAGCAGAAGCAAACCGGAAACCAGCAGAAAAAGTTGAAAATTCAGTTAACTCAGTTAATTAGTTATCTCTGTTAGTTAGTCAGTTAGAAAGTTAGTTTGTCAATTAGTTGATCCAGCTGGTATGTCTATAAATAGTTGAATGTAACTCACAAAGTTCTCAAGTTCTAACTAATGAAAGTTCTTCTTTTCTTCATCAGATTCTGCCCTTTATTTCTGAGTTCCTGCACGTATAATTGCAGGGTTCAATGTAACCTGAGTTGATAAATTTTTCACAATGCCCTGCATATTTGATCAACATGAAAAATCAAATACCACTTAGACTCAGCAAATGATAAAAAAATCTCCTTCTCTTTCCACCCACCCCTTTTCCGCAGAAATACAAACTAAGAGCCTTTCAGGCCAAGCTTAAAATTTTCACTTTTAAGTAAATTTATTGACGGTACGATTAAAGTTGCACAAGAACAAAAAACCTTTTTCTATCTGAAAGTAAGAGAAAAAAGAGTCCAATAAATGTTTTGGGCTAAAAAAATTACTGACAAAAAATTTTACATTTTTTAGCCATAGCCTAACGTGCTCTAAAAGTGAATCCCAACGAAAAAACCAAGTAAAGCAAAAAAATAAAAGGGGAAAAATTACTTGGTTAAGATTACAATATCAGAATACCATAAAGGTAAAATCTAGAATTCAATTAACACGAGGAAATCAAACTAAAATGCAATCTGTCATGTACAATATTTTAGGAATGCAAGACAGATATTTTTATATCAGAAATCACACAGATGCAAACTAGTTCTTACAAGAGCAGGGGGGTTAAAAGGGCTGCTATGGGACAGTCCTTTTAATAATAGGCCCAGTACATTCTACAAAATTTGTAAGAGGGCTCAGTAGCTAGGCCAATAGGAGGGCCATGCTGGACCGGTATGCCGACCCAGTATTTAAGGCCTTAGCCCATGGAGTATGGTAGAGCAGCCCCTATATTTGAACACTACACGATCTCGTCGTCCATCGCTTGCTGGAAACATACTCATTATCATTCTTTGATGGAAACAATACCTATATAGAGCATGTTTGAGCCCCATTTTTAATTAAGAATGCATTTAGAAATAATAGATTGATGAAAAATATATAGTTAAAAAATAAGAAAAAGTTTTGAATTTGCGTGTAATATCATTTTATTGAACAATGCATTTTTTATAAAAAGAAAGAGAAAAAATGTAATTTAAAAATATTAAGGATCAAACAAGAGCATAAGGTGGTTACAAAATACAATTTCAAAATTAAGAAATTAGTGTCACAATAGCGTACAATTTATGATCACAGTTATGTACTAATCCCAATTACAAACGTCACAATCACAAATCACAAATTTTATAGGTAACAACTTTTATTTTATTTTAATCAATCACAAATTATCAAATGAATAGGACATATATTATTTCTCGATGACAGATCACAAATTTGAATGGTCACAACTTATTTTACAGTAACAAATTTATCAAATTAATAAATCAGGTATTATTTCTTGATCACAAATCACAAATTTATCAAGTCGCAGCTTATTTTACAGTCACAAATTATCGAATTAATTGATCTCATATTATTTCTCGAGCACAAATCACAATTTTACAATTCACAACTTAACAAATTATATGTCACGATTACAAATTTAGTTATAATCTCATATTTTGTTAGGTGACATTATTTATTGGTGACAAATCAACGGTCACAATCACTCTTTATCCCATCATCTTCAATACAATTATGATGTTGGGCAATTCCTCGAAATACAGTAACAATGGTCAAACCCACCATCCTCAATTCCTCATCAAGCACATAAATATAAGTCTACTCCATCACGACAAGAGTGAAGGCAACATTGAAGGCACCGTTGACACCACCACTACCAAGTCAAGAGGCTAGGTGTCAAATTAGGCGAGTGATATTCGTTTCTAGCGAGTTTTCCAATTGGAAAGTGTACTTTTATGTGCCCCCATACAAGAGGATTGGCTCCACTCTCCACATGATCACCTCTATAGCCACGATCCAAGCATCATTGAAGCAATGTTGTGTAGAGCTTCTCTGCTTAGCGTCGCTAGATGCTCACAGCGAAGAGCATTGTTGGCACTTGGAGGTGGTCTACGATGACGACGGTGGTTCATGTGTGAGGAAGATGATGGAGAGGAAGGGAGAGGAAGAAGAGAAATAAAATGATTTAGGGGTTTGATGGGGGTAGTTTAGGTAGGAGTATATAAATTAATTTATAATATTATTATTGATATTAAAATATGAAACTATCACCTAATTTTTGTATAAAATAAACCGTAAACTTAATTTTTGAAGTTAGAATTTAAAAAACATGGATGCATGTAATTTCCACTTTTTTAATTCGCTCTAATCGATTATTCATTATATCCTTCTAAAAATTGAACAATAGAGATCAAGATAATTGCACAAGTGTGACTCTTAATCTCGTGATTGAGATCCGTGAACGAGACCCAAACACCAAATAAATAGAGTTGGGTCGTGGGTCGAGGCTATGGCCTAGTCCACGTGTAGCCCAATTGGCCACTGGGGCATTAGAGATGGGGCCACCAGGACAATAGAGACGAGGCCCTTGGCATTATTTGAACGGATTAAGATGGTTGTACATGGCCACATGGGCCTTGTACTACCAAGGGCGTCCTCCATAGGTGGGGGGCCTGTCGAGGCCCTGTACACCTAGCAGGGTTCGGGCCAGTCAGGGTTATAAGTCAGTTTTGATCCCCCTGTACACCATGCTAAAGGCTTTTATAAAAGTAAAGCAATTATTCTCTCTTACTTTTCTTTTTTCTTTTAAAAACTATTTTTATTTTTTTTTATTTTTTTTTGCAAATTAACTTTCAACTGACAAGAAGTTGTTAATTTTGATATTCACTCACAATTAAACTCTTTAAATTTTATCGTTAGCCAAATATGTCTGGGGAAATTGGGCAATATTTTGCATAAAATATGATATTCAAACTTTTCGCGTCTTGTGTTAGCGAAACTTCGAGTTCACACGTCCCCTTTTTTGTCCATTGCTATCTTTGTACATAGGAAAATTGGATTCTAAAAATTACTTTTTGGGTGTAGTCCTTTATCAAGTTTTTGTAATGGAAATAGTACTCCTGCAATTGTAGCTTTAAAAGATTATATATCTTCTCCCCGACTTGTGATTTTGGAGATAGTTAAGGTTGGTGCATTCCCTTCCTTTTTTTACTAATATTTTTATATCAATAGACAAGGTAAGGGTCAATATCAAATTCCCCATCTATGCATGTCTTTTCACTACATAATAAAAATATATTGGTAGTATACATGACCCACAAGTAACGCATTGCGCCTCAACTCATCAACATGATAAGGTTAGAGTTGTCTTTTCAACAAAAAATTGTAATTTGAACAAAGTTTTTGATGAAAAAAAGTAGCTCGACTATGGTGCAATAAATTGAAATATAAGGATGAAAATGCTCATTCTTGAAAGTTGGTGACACAAATATAACTCACATAAAAGATTAGGGACACTCGTTGCTCTTTTTCCTTATTTTTTCCATTAATGTTTAAATTCGAAAAAAAAAATAAAAAATTCAACATGCAATTATTTGCAACATACTAAGTAACTCTAGATTGTGAATTCAATTAATAATTTGTGACATTTGCTTAAATCATACGCAATGAAGATGTGGTGACAATTATGCATAGACTCATTCAATGAACCCACAAAATTGGTGTAAAGCGTCAATGCATGGCGTATAGATGCAGCGAGTAGTAGGTAGCCAATCCTCATCCTCTTCAAATGAGAAATCATGATGACATCTATTCATGTTCATGGATGTTATAAAGTCATATTAGACGAGCTAGAAAAGTGAAAAGTACTGAAAAACATGAGGATGAAACTTGATCAATTGATTCAGCACTAGTCTAGAGAATAGTAGAGCGCTGCCACTGGCTCATCGGTTGACGAATTTATCAAGTCCTTTCTTCGTAAAGAGGGAAAAATATATATATATCAAGTGATTCAAGCTCAAAATATATCATAATTATGAAAATTCTTGACAACTTCTTGCACCTTTCTTAACATCATATATTGCAAATTACTACATAGTTTCTTCGAGGATATCAAATAATAGAACATTATAACATTAGAAACTACAAATTAAACCCAAAATATATTCAAAAGTAAATAAAGAAAGAAACTGAGAAGTGAACTGTGAAGCTTCATAAGGTCTTTCTGTCCACGTGAAAATCGTCTACGTCGTCTTCACTGACATTACCTATTTCACGGAGCCTCTCTCCAATTTTATGACCCGCCACTCTTCAAACATCAACATGGCAATCCATCACCAGTTGATACTTTATAGCTGATCCAACAGCAATGCCACTGTTTTTATTGCCAAAATTTATGTAAGCAGGACAATTCACATACAAATGATATCTCCCAGAAGTGAAAGTGCCAACTTTCCATCTTATACGTCCATCAATCCTAATGTCGATCAACACCGTTCCTGCTAGCTGATCTTGATTCAAAGCAACGGTTAGAAATGGTGCAATGGGAACTGCATTTCCATACAGAAATGGAGACCAAACTATGATGTCTTTGTGTCCTTGGTACGTAGAAGGAAGCAATGTGGGTAGGGTTATTTGTTGGCCATGGTACGAGGCGTATACATCGACTTTATCATAGTATATGCCGATTTTATCATTAGGATTTCTCGAAGAAATGGTGATTTGGATGTTAGAAGTGAGGGCGTTTAGAGTCGAGACATTGAAGGCATAGACAGTGGCGTCTTGGAGGATGAAATGGGGTTTTGTCGGCCGCAAGATGAGCCAGACAAGGAGGATGATGAAGAGGACGAGGATGATGAATGCAAGGAAGATGGCCAAGAGGTGGCGATAGAACTTTTTCCGGTCTTCGTCGTGGTGGCCGCAATCCTTGGCCGACATGATTGCTTTTGTTATGTTGCAAATGTTTTAAGGTCAGAAGAGAAGGAATAGGGAGTTCTATGGACAAATGATAGAGTCACATTTATACTATACCTTTGCCGTATATATAGGGGTGGCGTGGGGTGGGGTGGGGTGGGTCAGGGTGGTTCAATCTATTAACGTTTTTTACTGTATGAAATATAATTAGGTTTAACAGAATTACCTTAATTTCTTCGAATGCGAGACATTAGCTTGTAGAAAATGGACACCAAATTACACACTTAGGACTTTGTGGGTTAGTATTAGGATGAATGGATGATGAATGCTTGTGTTTGGTCGTGTTTAAAATTACATTTTGAAAAGTAAATTTGTCCACAATAAAATTACTTTTGATAAAGTAATTAAATTTTGCTTACTTTTTAATCAAAACGATTGAAATGTTGTTGATTGATCCAATCTTTTAGAGGGCATATACTTGAATCCGAAGGCTAAAGATTCATGAATATTAGTGGGACCCAATGTATGTAAATTCTTGAGATAGCATGAAGAATAGGTAACCTACCAAATTCTTATTGGAATGACTTGCAATATTTATTTACCTATTTTGAATTTGTTGTATTACAAATATTTGAACTATAAACGGAATGAATAGATGAATATATTTGTTTGTTTGAATTTAATTTTGGTATTGTGAATATATTACATCCCAATATCTAATTGTTTTCTTGCAACATGGCTAGAAATTCTAGTGCCCATCTAATTATGTTGGACCTTTCACGAAAATAATGTCTCATCAGTGTGCATTTTGATTTTATATGTTCTCTAAAGAAGATTAGATGGTACCAGGGGAAATATATATATATATATAGTCAAAGTCAATAATAAAATTCAATCGCACATTTCTTAGAACTCACAATTTTTCAACCAAACATTCAATCAATATTTAAATAAATCTAATAAAAATCTAATTTTTATATAAATCAAACGAGCCTTAGTCTATTTCAATACTGCAAACATAGAAAAGTATGCGTCGTGAATTATATTATTGAATGCTAAACTAAAGAAATGGATTTTATAGATGCCTATCATTTTCTTTTGATACTATATGATTCAAATCACGAAATTTGGGTAGATGTAACAACCCATTTTGATTGAGATAATCATGATGTAAAAATGACCCATTTTGATTGTTAGTTACACTTGAACCACCGTGGGACCAACATCCGTTAGTGGTGGTTGATTGTGGATGGGTGGCGTAGTGAAAACAAACATGCAATGAAACTTTTCTTGGCTTTGAAGGTAAACAAACATTCAATATAGTACACATGCATGAAGTCAATAACAAACCAATAAATATAATATCTATTATGTCGCTTTCCGTTACTCTATTCGGTTAATTGCTATTTAGCAATCACTTGACTACAAATATAATTGTAAACATGATACTTTCACAACTTATTTGCATGTCAATAATTTTCTCCCTTCCCTCTTAAAACATGAGGGTTTTAACATGGGGATTGTCGATTGGGGTCGCTTGAATTATTAAATTACAATATTTACTCATATTATTACAACCTCGAAGAATGGCCAATGAAACATAGACACCTTTCTACCTTTTTTTCTCTTCTCCTTTTGGCTTATCCTTTTTCCAAGCTTATCTTTATCCCATTTCTAGAATAAATTAATGATTCCCAAGCCTCACAAGCCAGGAATATCCCCTCACACTGGTAAATGTTTTAGAACACAAGGAAGGGTTCACAAAAGTTTTACAGCTGCTGCGCTGGCAATACTTGTTTGATCCAAGCATCTTTCAATGCAAAATTGTCAAGTACCCTGTTTGTAAAAAACATGTGAACCAAGCATCTCTCAATGTTTTGCTACTAATAGCTACTTAAAGCTCGTATTTGACACGCAATACTACATCATAAGATAACAAGTTTAAAGAACAGTGTACATATATGGACCAAATGGAAATTTTTGGAAAAAACCCTTCTCTTTCTTAACATTGTTCAGATGTAATATTAGGGGTCTTTATATGGTTTTAGTGAAACCCACTGATCTTACAAGATGTCGGAAATAGTTATACATGCAAGTATTTGCATTAAGGCTAACTTTTATAAGTTTGATCGATGGAGTGCAGGAAAAATGCAAAAAGTAAGTGAACAAAGCAAAATTATAAAGTTGAAAGCTTCTGAGATGCAAAGATTCTAAAGGGGAAAAATCCCTGATAAAAAGGTGAAAAAAGGAAATTGACAAATAAGAAGAAGGAAAGAATCCTTCGATTTCAATTTGGAGAAAGAAACAAAATAATCATGAGGGAAAGGTCCAATCCACATTATCAGACATGCCATAAAATGCCATAAACATATGGGGTGGACAATCCAGTTATCGTTCCTCTGTCGTAACTATTAGTAAGCGAATAAACATGTAACTGGCAAAAAAGAAACCAAGAGAGTAAACTATGAATAGAAGAAAGAACTAAAATTAATAACAACGATTAGACCAGATTGCAAAGAAACTGAATAAATATCAGGAAATTAAAACGATATTTGGTTCGATTCCAGGGGGTTCTGTCTGCTGCACTTCAAACAACTTAAGCAAACAACGCAAAAAGCTTAAGCCTAATCAAATATTCATAGAAACCATTATTTCGTTTAAACTTCAAATAAGCTTGCATTCATGCGTATGTCGAAAAGGATTAGATGAACACCGCCAACACAATTCACATCATGTGTGTGTATATTTCATCCATGATCTCAGCAATGGACGCAACATACAAGCAACCGTGCCTGTTGAAGAATGAGCTAGCAACTCACAGACAGTGGCTTGGTGGGTAAGTAAACACAGGCTATCAGACGTACATTCTCATTTCTACTGAACCGCTATTTGACTCGATAAAGATTTTTAACTTCTGTTAACGATTGGCATCCAAATTCAGGCAGAAGGCACTATAACAATTAACAGGTTTCTCTCCAGGGAACTACTAGTAAAGTAAGAACGGCTGCATACAGTTAAATCAATTACATACTTTAATCCCGAGAACATCGTCCACATTTTCTGTTCTTATCCAACATATTCGACAGAAACTATTATAAAATTGAAAAATACTCACTCTAAGTAAATCTTTTTCAACAACCAAATAGTTCAATCAACCGCCAATCAAACATCCTTCATATCAAAGCTTCTTCTATTTGCATAAGAAATTACAACCATACACTAGCAAGAAATTTTCATGGGCAACAGGATAAGTGGCTTCAGAAAAAACTTATTTACGAAGAAAACTTCCATGAAGTCTTAAATATCACACACTAGAAGAAATGTAAGAGAACTAATCCAGTTACCCATTTGAAGCTAGATCCCAGCTTGTATTAATCAAATTGTAAGATCTTAATTTCTTAAAATTGACAAACAAATAAACGTTTGAAGGAATATTTATCACTTCACTACCGCCATATCCAAAATAATGCATTTGCAAAATTTTCCAGGAAAAACCACATTCATGCATACATAACATACAACAGTTTCTCTATTTCATACCACAAATTTTGGTAATTATTGAAGAACAAGGAAATTGATTAGAACAATCTTAAACTTATATTAGCTAAACTTGACCATGAAAAATTTATTCACTTCCAACCAAAGATCTATAAATAATGACTAAATAAGCTCCCAACTCGTCCTCCCTTCCCAAACACTTCTCTCTGCAGCTATGGGAGTATTGCAGATGCACACATGTTTAAATTCAGAGTAGACCTCAGTTAATGCTATTGAAGCTAGCAACTCCTCCAATAGGGATTGAGAATTAAGTTGGATGGATAAGGCAGAATAGCAAGTAAAGATATTCTATGATGCTCGGACTCGAGTATGGATATCGAATACGGGCATATATCTAAATGTCGGATCTTTTATTTTCTAAAATGTAGGGTACTAGGATATGGTTAAAAAGAATCCAATTTTTGGACACAAGTACGTAGGTACGTCTTTCAAACTTCATATATATATATATATATTTTCCAAAAACTCACATGTAAAAAGTTAAATAATAATTAGGTGATTTTTAATTAGAAAAAAGGTTGAATGACTAAAATGTAAATTTGATCAAAGTATGGTCACCTCCAATAAAAATCTTCATAATCAAACTCCAACTTCCAGCAAATGTTGTATCATATGGGGCTGAGGCAAAATGGATTTCTAATTATAATTAACCACAGCCGTAGATAGTAGGCCTAGTATTTTAAAAAAGGGCCACCTCAACGAAAGGACCACAATTAAAAAAAGCCTAACAAACTCATCGTCTCGCCTTTCCCTATTCTTCACTTCAAGCGATTGGCAGTGAGAGTGTCCTCTACAAGTCTTTGTCCTCTAGCCTATAAATTCGAGCAGAGCAACACTTGCGGCTGCGCCACATTGCCAGCTACCGCCTATATAGCCAATGACAATTCATCGAACTCAAATTCAAAGAAGAAGTCAACTTCTTCGTCTCCTGTCAAGTTAAGATTTGCCATGTCCAGTTGATTTTTCCCGTGTCCACCCCATATCCCATACCCGTATCTGTGTCGGGTCGACACGGATAATCCGGTCGAAATGAAGAGTCCGAGCATCATGTGCGAATTCTTTTGAGTATCCAAGCTTGCTCCAATCTCTTTATAAAACTTTCGTTATTGGATTAGCTATATACTTCACATGTTTCTAGCAATTCACATTGCTTTTTTGGGTAACTAGGACTGCTAAAGTGGAATTGGGATGGTGTTCCCACAAGCCGTGCCCATATGGTGCATCAAAGGCAAGTTTTCTCCTTACATGCTCCTCTGCTTGTCTTTCAAAATTGTTCCATATTAAGCTTGCTTATTAAATATCCTTACCTTCTCAAATAGGAGTGAACATTTTGATTGGAACTGAATTTTTTGAACCAAAACCAAATAGGAACACAAAGTTTCGGTTGGGTTTCATTAAAAAAAAAAATGTGAAACCAAAAATCGATCAAGTCCTGAACGGTTCTTGGTTCTTGAACAAAAATCATAGGTACCAAGCTTTAGAATCAAATTTATCCTTTTTTATAATTTATTTACCTTGACCCAATGTGATGGAAAGAAAAATCTACAATGCCGATTTTTACGCTAGCTCCAAATGAATGAATTTATGTTGTTTATAACATTTGTAGAATCTAATACTTCCTTAATATTGGTCTAACTTTTGATTTGTTATTTGGGTATGTAATTTGGTGCTAAATATTTGAAATTATTTGGGGGCATACTTGCTAGATATGGGATACTATAATGCTAAAAATAAGATGATATTTTGTAGCATATTTGTAGTGGACTGAGAAAGTGATGAAATATGTACTTGACGACGTATTTTATTTCTTATATTTATGTTACATGAGGAGAAAATTTGTATTATTAGCTCGCATTTAAAAAAAAAAAAAAATTATAACAGATTGAACCAAACCCAAATGTGTTTGGGTTCAGTTTCAGTATCCAAACTGTAATGGATGGTTCTGACATTGAAATACTCGGACTGTCCCACCCAATGCCCAAGCCTGCTCTCAAATTGCTATTTGCATATACAATTTTATTACATGTGTATGTAGCATCAAATAGCGCAAAAATTATTAATAGAAAATCTTAGGGTCAATTTGATTTATGTTTCAGTTTTGAGTTTTGAATTCATTGAAATTTTCTGTTTGATGGTCTGTTTTAAAATTGCTAAAAATATGCTTGGTTTGTCATTTTGAAAAATTATTTCTTCAAACAGAAAACTAAAAAATACATTTGATTTGACAGTTTGAAAAATTATTTTATGGCACTTTATTCCACGAAATTTAATTATGTAGTAAAAATAGAAAAATTTTATGTTAATATATTATCAACTAATATATATACATTTTAAAGTTTGTGAATATTAAAATATTTTTTCTTACTACAAAAGTAAAATAAAAATAAATAATAAATTGAGTTCAAAATATAGAAAATAAAAATAAAATTTAAAGATGTGAACTGAGAATATTTTTATTTTTTGTTCATTTAAATATTGTGTTTAGAATTTTTTTATGTAAATAATCATTAAGAGCTTGAACCTTTTTTATTTTTATTTTTTATAATTTGTATTTTTCTAGAAAATTTTATAATTTTATTTTTTCAAAATTTTTATTTTTTTATTTTTTAAAATTTTATTTTTTTAGAATTTGAAATTTATTTTTTTTTTCAAAATTTTTATTTAAATTTTTTAGAATTTATCAATTTTATTTTTAAGTTTAATTTTTAAAATTTTTATTTTTTTGAATTTATACTTATGCTTTAAATTTTAAATTTTTTACAATTTTATTTAAATAATATTTTATTAAAATGCTTCTTTTCCATGTTTTAAGTGTTTTCAAAAGTTTCACCAAAAACACTCAAAAGTCAAAAATACGTTTTGAATTTTATGTTATAAATTTAACTTTGTTCGAAAATGTATTTTCAAAAATACCATACCAAATACATTTCAATGTCTTGCAAAATTGAAAACTGAAAACAGCATACCAAATGCACCCTTATATTTTCTTTACGAAACTCACATTAACCCACTCAAAACCACCACATCCATCCAGCAATGGATAAAAACAAAAGCTATAAAAGTGAATCCTCACAAGATGTAGGCATCGCAATTACACAATGGATTGGGTAGCCACTGTGAGATGTGAGATGATATTGAAGTAGTTCACATGCCACACATTCAAAACATCTCCAAAATGGGGAACATAGGAATCAACATGCAAACAATACAACACTTCCTAAGTGCAAAGTCTAGAAATAGAACTAATATGATTTGATCATCATAGATAATATGTATAAGAATATTAAAGCACTTGAGCATTCTTATATTTTCCGTTAAAAATACAAGTTTCCCTCTCAAACCACTATTTCCATCTACAATCTTATGACACATATATATAGCATCAAATAGTGCAGAATGATTAACAGCAAATCTAACTTTTCTTTCCAAAACTCACATTTCTAACTTAAAACCTCTACATTCGATGCACTAACTAATAGCCACGTTCATATCCAGCAATGGATAAACCAATAACTGTAACGTACAAATAGTCACAACAAGTACACATTGTAATTACACAGTGGACTGGATTGCCATTGTCAGCTGATATTAGTTTTCATATGCCACGCATTTAGAAAACATTTCCAAAATCGAGAACATAGAAATCAACATGCAAACAATACAATCCAGTCCACTGTGTAATTGCAATATGTATTTTCACACTAAAAATGTCATTCTTCATTGGCACCAATCGAAAACCTCTGATTCTCACTCCTCAAAGATAGATATCATTGACAAAATGAATGTGAACCAAATATCATATTGAACAACAAATAAACCAGCCATAATCAAAATTTAAAAGAAAAGGCAAGAAATTTAACTGTACATCACAGATATTATCCTATATCCATTGCAAAATTACATTCATCCATGCTCAACAAATTTAAAACACCCAACAAAGATTACCTAATAATTTAACCAAAAAAAAAAAAAAAAAAAATAAAAATTCATTAGTTCACCTCAGATCCCAGCACGGCACTGCTTTGGCCCACCGGTTAACATACCGGATCTCGCATTGCTTGTAATCCCAACAACCAGATCCCCACAAAACACCTTCAAAAACCTTCTTCTCGTCCTCCACGCCTTTGCCTCGAACTTAACCCTAGAAATCATCCTCAAATTGAATCCCACATTCCCATTCTTGCTCCTATCCCAATTTATCCCATCAACTACCCTCTTATCCACATAACTCCCAGCTGCTGCGAAGTTCGCCGTTATGGAAGTTTCATTTTTGGTATCTTGGTAAAACGGAGGAATGGAAGTATCAGCAAGAGACTCTGATTTGTAAAAAACCTTTGCCATAATATGATCGTAACCAAGTTTCATTTTCTTATTCGGGTTCCGGGCAGTGATCTGAACCTCCGAAGTGAACGAGACTAGAGAATTATTACCGACGGTGAAATTAGAAACGGAAAACGAGTCAACTCGGAACTCGGGGAGCTGGGGTCGGAGGACAAGCCAGACAATAAAAGTGATGGTACCCAATATAATAATAAGCCCAATAACAAAGGCGAAGATGCGGCGGATACAGGTGGCGCGGCGGGCGGAGTACGGGTCCTGGTTGTAATTCTGCTGGTTGTAAGGGTTATTCTGGTAACTGTAGTGGCCGGTAGTTGGAGGAGGGGCTGCGTAAGGGTAACCGGTGCCGGACGGAGGTGGATTGGCGCCGATGGCGTAACCGTTGGGATACGAATTATGGGCCGAGGCGGGGTAGCCTGTGACGGGTCTATTCGGGTCTTCCATAGTCGTAGATTATAGAAATATTGTCTGGGCTATGTTTTGTATTGTATCTATCAGAAGTGTACGGCGTACGGGAGCATCCGAATGGTACCGTATATTGCACCGAAAAAGTATGTTACACGAAAAAAAAATGTGGAGAATATTTTATGTGTGGTTTGATAGGAATTAAAATCTAAATTTTGATTAAATTAAAATTAATTTTAATTATACAGTTTATTGAATTCGTATTTTTTGAAAATACATTTTATAAATTTTTTAGTTATCAAAATTCATTAAAAATTTGATTTTAATTCCCATCAAATAGGAACTATATATTCAAATTGTGATGATTCTTGGATGAAGTTACATTGAACGATAAGTATAATAAAGTTAATTTTATATTCATATATTTAATAATTTTTATAATTTTATTTAACATTATCTGTCATACTACATGAGAATGATCTCGCTTACAAATATGAATGATAATATCAATATGAGATTTGTTTAAGGTTAGCAGTGGGATGGTACGGAATGGGGTCGGAGATTAAGATATTGTTTGCCTTCCTTAAATATTTTCGGAGGTAGTGCAAAAACGGGACGAGGATTACAATCTTCATTTAAAACATCGTTAATTATTTATTCATTTTCTTAATATTTATCTTTGTAAATATGGTTAAAAGCATAAAAGGAGTGAAAAAGTTTTGGGTCAATATTTATGCAACGATAATTATTTTTTTGAATCGTACTACAATCATTCCTTTCAGTAAAGATGACACTAATTTTCTTAATGTAATATGATTCCGTTCAACTCATCAACATATACAGAGTTCCACTAAGGTAAAGAGAACCAAAAATAAATAAATAAATAAATTAGACTTCTTTTGTTGGAGTGTTCAACTTGGCTGCCAATTTGGTCTATCATTGATCGCGTCTAGGTTTAGTTCTAGTGAATAGCATTGTGCTTAAAAAAGGTTGAACACCAATTTTGAGGGCCCCCACTGCCCCGCTTCGCCCTTAGAGCATTGTGAAGGAGATAAATCGTTGGATATGTCTTAGCGGACCAAGGAACAAGAGCTTGCTCATATATTGGTGTCCACAAATAGTCAAATTCCATATTTCAGGAATCGAATATCACTACGACTGTCAGAAAGGTTGAGACTACCTCACTCATGTCATTTGCACCATTGAATTATGTCCCGAGAGACGAATAACATTGTGCTTATGCTTTGCCTATGTACGTTAAAAACTATAAAATAAAGCAAATGAAAGGATTAGTACTGAATAAGTTTTTCTATTGATAGTCAAGAATTAATTTGGTCCGGATACGAATAAAAGTTCGGATATTTAGAATCCTATTAAAAAATCCTGAACTGGCCGATTTCTCCCCAAACTGATCGGTTCACCTCCAAAATTTTGTTTTTATCTCTTTTTATCAATTATTCAACCTCCATTGATTATTTACTTTGTCTTTAGTTCGCGATAAGTCAATTTCATTGATTTCAAATTCATCCGCAAAACTTCTCCAAATCTCCCCACGTCTTCTATATATTTACTCTCGTCGTCTCACTTGAGCCATGTAGATTCTATTCTGACACATGACTAGTCAATTTTGAGTTTTCAAAATCTACTTAAATTTCAAAGAAAATTACACAATTATTAAACCCTTTTAAAAGCAGAATATAAAATTTAAACTATTAAGAGTCAAGAATCAAAACATACCTAACAAATGGAATAAAAATAATTTGTCAAGAACTTGTTACGTGATTAACGATTTGGACACTTGTAAATTTTGTAACACGTGTTTGGCCCACATTAATTTTCATTACATTAAATTTAATTTTTCTCTCTTCTATTTTAGACCACATAATCTTCCATAAAATAATATTATACGTAAACTGAAAAATTTTCCTACTTTTTTAATCACTCATTTTTTAAAAAAATATTATTCCACTCATTTTCACTTCTATAAAATGGAGGGCAAACGGGGGCTTACTACTAAACACACCCCCAATTGTTCAACATCTACAACGAATATTCAAGCAATCTAAAAAGGGGAAAAAGGAGGTCAAGAAGAAACACAACCATCAGCTTCTGCACTGTCTCCTGTTTTCAAATTCTTGCACAGAACTTGCACTGATTTTTTCTCGTTCATCCATTTCCCAGCTTTAAAGCAAGCCGTTCCATTCATTTTCACATCAAAATCCACTTCTTTTTTGCTCAGATCCAAGCCCAAATTCTTCATTTTCCCACTGTTAGTCCAGTTCACCGTCATTCTTGCTTCACTCCTCTTCCTCGGAGAAAAAACCTTCACAGTACCCTTCAAAATCTCGCAATTTTCATGTAACAGTACAACGTCAAAACCAGAAAACCAGAGGTTTATTTTCCGGTTTGGATTCTTCACTGTGAACTCCATTGAAACGTTGGCATTTGATACAGAGAGGGATTCGACGTTAAATTCCGGCAGGCGGGGACTGAATATTAGCCATAATATGAGGCTAAACGAAATGATTGCTAGCAGAAGTAGAATCAAAATAGTGATCGAACACCGTGCTAGCAGCGTTGCTCGGCCGTTTATCGGCCGAGAGTTTTCAATGTCGCCGGTGTTATCCATTTGAGTGCCCTGTGCGAAATCTGAAAGTGTGGTCGAGCAAAAAAATTGGGTGTTGATGAATGCGGCAGCAGAGAAACGTGTGTATACATATACTATTTATCACGCGAGCAAAAAAAATTGGGTGTTGATGAATACGGCAGCAGAGAAACGTGTGTGTATATATACTATTTATCACGCGTTGAGAATTGGAAATTCTGGGAAATTAAGGTTTTTGTAATTCATTGTCGATGTTGCGTAAAAAAACCGCTACCCCCCTCCCCCTCTCTCCAACTTATCTATTCACACACTTTTTTTAAGCAAAATCAAATAATCGAAACTTGATGGTAAGTCAGACTTTAAATTCCAATCATACCGCAGTACATATATGTTTATAGAAGAGTAGATATAATGTTACATGACATTTTATTATTGAATTATTTTCAACAGAGTCAATTTTTTCATCCCATCATTTATTGTCAACCACACCTCTGTCTAGATCCGTTCGGTAAAGTGATATAATCATTTAAAATTAGTTTTACCCCTAAATATATCCACTTGATACTACTTGCAATATAGTCAAACATGCTCTCTAATTTTTTTTCTTCCCTACATTCTGATGATGCTTAAAAGTAAATTTTGACTTACTTTTACGTTATTCATTTTGTTTAAATGACATTGCTACATGTACATCAAGATTTATATAAGGGATAGTATAATGTTTACATGAAACTCTATCATTTGTTAATTTAAAATACAGTCAACTTTGTCATCTAATCTTTTCCCTTCACATCATTTTTGGTAACCATACAATTTTTATGTATAGATAGCAAAATCCTTGTTTAAAATTACTTCAAATCCTATTTGTAAGATTTAAATTACTTTCATTATATTTCAGTTCAGCTAATTTAACGAAATTGATGACATATAGTAAGAAAAATCACTAGTCTTGAATCCATTGGCACAACTTATCTAACATTAATATACATATATGTATAATAAGATTATTGAAAATAACATACTAAGCAAATGTTTTCTACATCTCATCATTATTTCTGTTAATCACGTCAAGATTTCTATAAGTTGTTCTAAAGTGAAGTGAAGATGAATTGGTGTTTTGAGGTGGTGTTGTGGTGATTCTCAAAATTTTAAAAAAAAAATTATTTTTTTTTCTTTTGAGAAACTAACAAAAAGAACGCATTTTCAAGAATTTCAAAACAAAAACTCAAAATACAAAACTCAAAATGAATTCAAAACTCAAAACACAAAACTGAAACACAAAGAGAACACCCCCTAAGGTTTTTGTAGTTCATTGTCGATGTTGCGTAAAAAAACCGCTACCCCCCTCCCCCTCTCTCCTACTTATCTATTCACACACTTTTTTTAAGCAAAATCAAATAATCGAAACTTGATGGTAAGTCAGACTTTAAATTCCAATCATACCGCAGTACAGATATGTTTATAGAAGAGTAGATATAATGTTACATGACATTTTATTATTGAATTATTTTCAACAGAGTCAATTTTTTCATCCCATCATTTATTGTCATCCACACCTCTGTCTAGATCCGTTCGGTAAAGTGATATAATCATTTAAAATTAGTTTTACCCCTAAATATATCCACTTGATACTACTTGCAATATAGTCAAACATGCTCTCTAATTTTTTTTCTTCCCTACATTCTGATGATGCTTAAAAGTAAATTTTGACTTACTTTTACGTTATTCATTCTGTTTAAATGACATTGCTACATGTATATCAAGATTTATATAAGGGATAGTATAATGTTTACATGAAACTCTATCATTTGTTAATTTAAAATACAGTCAACTTTGTCATCTAATCTTTTCCCTTCACATCATTTTTGGTAACCATACAATTTTTATGTATAGATAGCAAAATCCTTGTTTAAAATTACTTCAAATCCTATTTGTAAGATTTAAATTACTTTCATTATATTTCAGTTCAGCTAATTTAACGAAATTGATGACATATAGTAAGAAAAATCACTAGTCTTGAATCCATTGGCACAACTTATCTAACATTAATATACATATATGTATAATAAGATTATTGAAAATAACATACTAAGCAAATGTTTTCTACATCTCATCATTATTTCTGTTAATCACGTCAAGATTTCTATAAGTTGTTCTAAAGTGAAGTGAAGATGAAACTTAATTGCTTAATTTGAAAAAAAGCAAAAAAAAAAAAATCTTACAAAAATGCTTGAGCTGTAAACGCGATTCAATTCAATATATATCTGATGTGAGGTCCCAAAATGAGACACTGTGCATGGTCGGTGCAAGGGAAAAAAACTAAAAGCTCTCTGTTGCATGGCATGGAACTAAACAAACAAATCACTCCAAATTTGTTTAAAAGATTAGATTTACCTTTTTCCAAGTTATATTTAGGCCTATGAGAAAACAATATTTTTTGTTTAATCGTGTTTTTAAGTTATTATAAGTTGTTTATCTTATCGAATGTGTAGATAATAAATGATTAGTAAGTTGTAGATCTTACAAAATGTGTGGACAAAAAAATATATTTGAGACCAACTTCAATTAATTTACAGGTACTTGTGTGAATGATTTAATTAATATGCTAGTAACTAGATTTTGTTAGGACGTCAACGTAATTCAACAAGTTAGTAAGCTCAATCTAGGGGTGGTTATTTTTTCCTAGAACCGAAGGAATCAAACTGAACCATATAGAACCGGTTGATTCAACTTCAATTCCTCTACTAAATAGGTCATTTTTGGAATCGTGCATCATCAAAAATTTATCTATTTCAATTCAATTCTTGGTACTGGCTTGAAAAATAGAATTGAATTCAGTTTCCTCAAATTTCTCTTTTTGCTTACACCAAAATGCACCAGTATTTGAAAACTAGACCCCAAAATTATCTCATTTGAAAATTTTATTTTCCATATGCTCCTTCTTCTTTCCTTTGCAACAAAGTTTAAGGGGTAATCAAAATTCAAATTTAAATAATTTTATAAATACTTTCATAAAAATTCAAATTTCTCATTGTTTCCAAAATAGCCGACAATCAAGAATCAAGATCCTTGAAGATTAATAAAGATAATTATGTTATAAGAAGTGCATGTACTTTAATATATATTCGATCTATAGTTAGATATAAAATCAAAGGTTCCATTTAAAAATTCTCATTAGTATTTCATCACTTCTAATTCAATCACTAGGAGGGATGATGGTTGATTTCGCAGTCGAGTCAATTTGGTTCATCTGCGAGAATTCTGGCAAAGTACCCTCTTGGAATGAAATAATTGGAAGTCCATAAAAAATAAAAAAAATAAAAAAAACCACACCTAGGCCCCGTTTGTTTCTCATTTTTGGAAGAATGAGAATGAAAAATATAGCCGTTATGGGCCCCACACAATAGATAAAAATTCAAATTTGTTGGCTTGATGTGATAGATAACGGTCATATTTTTCATTTTAATGAGGAAAGAAGTATCATCTAACGAACTAGATCATCTGAATTCCCCCAAAATTTGAAGTAAACAGTGCACTCAACTTTTGGAACTTTAAGTGGACGTCGTACATGCTTCATCATTAGCTTCAGATTCCATTATAAAATATCAATTTAAGAGGAGTAGAATAAACTCTTAAATATTGATTATTTAATATTTATAGTCATATTGAAATTATTCCTTAAAGAGTACATTCAGTGGACTCTCTAAATATACGATATTCTCTATTTTAGAGTAATATTTAAAAATAAATTTCAAGACCTTTCTATTTTAACTTTTTAAAATAAAGAGTGGATGTGATTATTTAGTTTAGAGAATCAAACTTACTTTATGTTTTTACTTTATAATGACCGTATTAATGAGATACATACTTCAATACTATACTTCTTAAATTATTAAAATCATGCTTAAATTGATTGGTCATTGTTATATTAAAAACACATGTTAAACAAAGGAGGAGTCAAAATCAATAAATGTTTATTGAAACAATAAAATAAAGAGCTAAAATAAAGAGCATTATAAAAATGGGTGGAAAGATTACACTCCAAATTTAAAGATGCTATCTATTATACTTAAGATACTCCATCTCGTAGGGCATGCTAATCGATAAAATCACACGTAGAAGTATTACAAAGTAAACAATCAACATATAACATTTTTAGATGGAACTCTAAATTTCAATAGTTAATAGGAATCCAAAGGTTCAAAGCCTTATGCCCCGATTTGGGCCCCATTATTTTTTATTATAATGGGGAGAATAGTATTTTATTTAAAAAAAATTGATAGTTGTAAAAGAATGAAAAGTTTTAGATTTACATGTAATATTATTTTATTAGAGATTGTGTGATTGAAAATATGAGAGAAAATTTTAATTTAATTTGATGAGATTTAATTGGGACCAAACGGGAGCTATATATTAACTCTATGTTTTATAAGTGACTAATGTGAGACTTATTTTTTAACAACTATGGTTGTAATATTCATTATCGACTAAGTATATCTTCAAAAGGAGTTAAAGCAGTGTGGGCAACCTCAATTTGGGATGGATCTATCACTTCTAAGCATGCTTTCATCCTTTGGTTAGTTGTTCGGGCCAAATTGCAAACAAAAGACAGATTACTATCTCTTCAAATGGACCAAAATACTCTCTTTGTGGACTAATGGAGGAAACTGCCCATCATCTTTTCTTTTTATGCCCGGTTAGCAAAGATGTTTGGGACCAAATCCGTGATTAGCTGGCTATAAGGCGTAACATGTTTACTTTGTTGAGCTCATTAAAGTGGATGAAAAAGGTGTAAGTATTATGCCCTAGGTCCAATCAACTTTGGACATAAATACTTTTATATATAATTAATGCAATTAAATGGCAGATCTATTATTTAATTAATAGACAATTAAATAAATAATAGAATCCGTAGATTCAAATATTTGTAATTTGTTAATCACAAGGAGTTGTGATTTTGAGATACAAATTACATCTGATTGAATCTTGAATCATCCGTGGTCGTAAGTAATAACGAGATACGG